GTCCTCCTGGGAAAAAGGCTTGAGGCTGCCGTGGCGTGGGGGTCTGGCTCTGTAACGTGGGGGCTTAATGAAAGGGCGAATATGTCCCAACCTACCAAAAGAAAAGCGCTGTGGAGGACAAGCCCCCCGCCCTGACCCCGTGCAAGTACGACCGGTCTCTCCCGAAAGCACGAGGAGTTTATCTTCTAGTTAAGATCCACTTTTTGACCCCGGTTTTCCAAGCCACGTGGCTTGTTTTAGGTAATCAGCTGGGCTTTGGATTTGAGTTTGTATCCCCTCTCCTTCCAGCATCCTAGGGTAACAGGAGCCTCTTAAAAACACCCTATGAATGGTGTGGACAGCCCGAGGAAAAGGGCACCAGGCAGGACTGTTGAGGATGGCGCCCTCACCCTCTCCCCTTGGGTGTGGTGCCAGCAGGCCTCCCAGAGAGGTCCTTTTGGACAGCAGACTGCCGGTCCAAGTGTCACAGCTGCTCTTGTGCTGGTTTTGCCCCACTGCGGAAACAACATGCCCTGGGGTATTGTTGGCCTCCCCCCCCCCCACCCCCTTTGCAGAGTTGCTGAGGTCCTGCTTCCTGTTGGGCGTTACCCCTGAGGCAGCGCTTCTCAACTGGGGGTCTGCACCCAGGCTGCAGGGGGTCCGCCCAGCCTGGCGTGGTGAGGAGCCGCCTTGGGCCCTGGGGCTGAGGCGAGGCCCCAGGAAGGCGCAGGGGCAGGGCTGCCCCGCCCAGCCCCGCACCACAGCCTCTCTCTTGCCAGCAGTGCTGCAGGCGGGTGGGCGAGGCTCTGCGCCGCTGCACCCAGGTGAGTGGGGCCCCTGGGCTCCCTGCCACCAAGCCCTGCCTCTGCACCCTGGGGCCACGCAGGCAAGGCTGGGGAGCCGGGTAGTTATTGTGGCACAGGTGGCCCGTGGAGTTCTTATAGCATGCTAGGAGGGAAGAAAAAGGTTGGGACCCCCTGCCCTAAAGACAGGATGAATGCAGCTTGGTCTGCCCTGCCATTAGAGGAAAGCAGAGAAATGTTGCTCTGTTCTTAACTGGAAAGGTTCGGAGATGTTTTGCAGCAGTGAGTTGTCCTCACGTGCAGGACAGATCCGTGCGGGATAGACTTCTAAATTCATAAAGCTATTTGTATGTCACAGGACTCTGATACGTACATGGAAATAAGAGCAAAAGAAGCAGTGTAATTCCCTAAGTTTAATGTTCTGTGCAGCAGAACTATTTCTTCTTTTATAAAAAATGATTACAGTCAGCCTTTTGTTTGGACACTGCCTGCTTATGTTGTTGCTAGGTGGGTGCTGCAGGGTAGCTCTGTGGTAGGACTAAGATTTCCTCCTTTAATCACTAGTGAAGTTCCCCCCCTGTGTGTCACTTCTGTTGCTGAGTCTCTTTGTACAGAACAGCTCCAGTGAGTTTGTTTTTCCAGTTGCTCACTTATGGAACAGTTTGTTTTTTTTCCCACAGGAGGTTTTCCCTGCCAAATACTGGTGTTAGGAATCTCCTATTATAAATATAAATCAGTAGTCTCACCTTTAGTGTGTTACTCTGGCATGTGTGCCAGAGTGACATTTCTTCCCCCATCTGGGTTGTCTAGTAATGAGAACAAATAATTTACAATATATATTTTGCTGTACTGTGTAGAAATAATGGCTATCAGTGGTCTGCGAGATTTTTTTTGTTTTAAAGTCAGTCAATTCGGGTTGCAGAGAGCGGCTCTGTTCGACCTGCGTAGCTTTAAAGTAGAGTATGGACACAGATTGGTCTGTCTGTATTTCAGTGATGACAGTAAGGCTTTGTTTCATTTTGAAGGGAGGGTCTCTTTCTTCTCCTTTTTGGTGGTCCTCCCCATTCTTCCCCTGACCTCTGCGCTCCATTGCCACACCCTGTTCTGGTTGGAAGACAGCACAACTGACCGGGTTCCTCACTAAACTTTCCATTCCCTCATCCTGCAGATTCCATTTTCTCCTTCCAAAAGCCGGGAAACATCCTTGCTTGTCACCCACAGAAGACATGCTTCTTATCAAGCTAGGACAAAAGATGAGCTCAGGTGCTGGTTGCCAGGTGTAACATTGCTGCTTCTGCAGTCAGCATCTGTCACTTTTATCATGGCACATACAGGAACCAAAGATTTGAGAACCCTGAGAACATTTCTAAATCCACGTCACTATTGCAAACCTGCCTAGCTAGCGAGGTAGACCGTTAGGAGGGTGGAGATCAGAGAAACCAGGTATAGTGTGACAACATCTGGACGCTTACCTTGCTGAGGTCATCTGACCCCAGCAGTCTTTCCTGCCCAGTGCAGGGGGGCTGGACCTCGAGAGGTCCCTTCCAGCCCCTAACATCTGTGAATCTGACCTGCAAGCATTTAAACGACTGCTCTTTTCAGCAAAGAGTAACAGATCTCTTCTCTTCTTTTTTGCTATTATTTTATTTTAATATTTTAATTCAGGGTACATGATAATTTTAGAAATAAATAAATTTGCTTGAGTGGATATATGAGGTCTTGGTTTATAGACTCTAAAGTAGAAGCTCCAACTCTTTTCAGTGTAAAGAAGAACATGTGTAAGTGCATGTGCACTAAGTATGCAGTATTAAGTAAACAACACCTCTGGGTTCACCGTATATATATGTGTGTGTGTGTATATATATAAAAATCAGGAGCACCTAGTGTCGGGTACTTGGCATTGACTAATAATGAATCCAAAAAACATTAAAATTATCTTTTTTTTCCTTTTTTACTACAGCAACAATGGATAGCAAACAATAAATGAAAACCGTACACAGAAAACATTAAAGATTGCAATATATATACTGTACAGTGTATTTCTCCTCAGTGGCAAATAAACTGCAAATCAGCTTCACTGTCCCTGAGAACTCCTCCACTTTGTTTCAGGACTTACTGCTCAGTTCTTGACTTTCATGCCCAAAACTGGCCTGTACAGTGTCCACTGCCCTCTTACTAGGGCTAGTCAGACCTCTGAGAGCCACTCTTAGTTACTGCCTATTGAATCCACCTCATCCGGAGCCTCTGGATGAATCCATCGTGCTTGTGTCATTTCCTTTTTCCCAGCTGGCACTCAGAACAGGATGCACATTTTTCTGGTTGAGAGAAAAATGTTTAAAATCCCCCTCAACTTCTTTCAGTTTCTGGGACACTGGATAGATTTGTTACCCCTCTGTCAGTCGGAGCCTGAGCTTACCCAGCCCTGATCAGTCAGCTTAAAAAGGTAGTCTCAGTCAACCAGACACTGCCCCTCTTGTCCAAGAGCTCACACAGAGCAGTCCTGTCTGGGCCCCCCCTGCCATGCACACCAAACTAGTTGCTAAAACAGTGATTTTCTCCTTTCTACCTCAGTGGTACACCCAACATGGCCATCAGCCACCACCCTTTCCCCTGCCAGGCATGCTCAAGATGGTCTCACTGACCTTCCCGAGATGGATGCATTTTGAAACATTCCTGTCTACAGAACAAGGGCGTTATACATATATTACTAATTAATATTTGCAAGCCAACCATTACTAATTAGAACATTGACAGTAATAAAAATTTTACGTAAGAATATTCCGAGTATCTTGACAAATTTGGGCTCAAACACTGCCAAAGTAGCAATGAGAAATATATTTATTCTGCAAGTCAAATTCTCAATTGGAAAAATTCATTTGACAAAAATCCCCATTTTGCTAAATGCTGCAAATGTTCTTTTTGCTTGTGGCTTTTGGTTGCTATAGCATTGTTATGTGGCAACTCCTTGAACATTCCAGTTTCAACTGTACAAGAGGGTGTGTTAGCTCAGTACCCTGGACTCTGTTCAAGTTTTCTGTTCCAACAAGTCTGATTCAATGTGGTTTTTATTTGATTTGGAAATGGAAGCCTTGCAAAAATCTGTTCAGTGATTACTACTCTGTGAAAGCTTATACAGTTGCATTCACTTTAGCTTTCAGTGGAGCAGTTTAGCTCTGGGCAAGATGAAGATTTTTGAGTTTCTTGTCTCAATGATCAACTATAAAGCCTCTTAAGTACAAAGATCTTTTTGTCTGAATGTGTAATTTTCATTAAGATTCAAGAAGTAATAAGGATGTCATAATGTAGCTGACATACCATCCCCCTCATAATCAGCATGTTTAATGACTGAGTAAGACACTATGGTTTTCTTTTATACTGCTGCTCTTTCGAGAGTTTCAGTGTTCTGAATTTCTGTCTCAGCACTGCTTTCTTAATTTAATTCAGCTGATCATGTGGGCAGGAACTGGAGGGTTTGGCACTGTTTGTTCAATTTTTTTGCCTTAAACATTTTAATTCTCCTTTAGGCCAATTAGTACCATTTCAACTTTCTTCCTTTCCTTTCCCAGCTAGATTGCTCCAGAAGATTAAAATTTCTTACTCTTCTTGACTCACTTAAAGCAAGCCAGGACAAGTTAGATATGGGTGAGGTAGTGCTTACACTACAGAGATACAACATAAGGTCTTACTGTTTTTTATAACAAATATTACATTTTAATATTTAAATAATGTCTAGAACTAATAATAACAGGAGACAGATTCTTTGCAGCATTCCACTTCATCTCACTACTTTGTCAGAAACATTAACGAGAGTAATTTTCTTTCCTGCCAAACGAACCAAATTATTTTTCTTGCCTACACAATTGTGACAGTCAAAGAAGTAAATTTAGTTTGTGTTGCTGTAGCACAGCTAGGACAATACTGTTTGTTTCTGACTTGAACTTCTGACTTATATTATAGTAGAAAATTAGGGTTGGAAGGGACTTCAGGAGATCATCTAGCCCAATCCTCTGCTCAAAGCAGGACCATCCCCAACTATGTTATCTCAGCCAAGGCTTTTTCTGTTAGGGTCTTAAAAACTTTTAAGGATGGAGATTCCACAGCCCCTCTAGGTAGCCTGTTCTAGTGCTTTACTACCCTCCTGGAACAGGCTTGAATAGGGGAAAAATCTTTCTGGTAGGTGATTTTGAAGAATCACTTCTTTTCCATAAAATTAAAAAGAATATTTTTTGTAGCCAAACCGTATAGGATATTAGAGCATAAAATAGTATTTGGGAGTGTGGACAAAGAGGCCACTTATTTTTTTTGCATTTTAAAAATATAAAGCCTCAACTTCTGAGCACTTTGTTTAACTTAATAATACTGATTGCTTTTTCAGCAATCTTGAAGGTTTATGGTTTCTATAACAAAATGATCATTTTCAGCATCACTGACTGGTGTTACCCACTCATTCTATATTAACTTGATTTTCTTTTCCAAATTACCCTGATTGACAGAGTGGGGGGTCATTTTTTGCTTGGGATCAACTCTTAGATTCATCTGTTTTCAAGGAAGTCACATGGAGACTGGGTAGTTAGGCAGCATTTCCCTAACCTTTTGGCCCCACTGTCAGGCACTCCTACACCTCCTGGACTTCAGCTGCTACTGCTGCTTCCCTTGTCACTGATTCTCCCTCATTCCCCTACAGAAGCTGCTGCTGCTGCTTCTGTCCTTGCTGGCAGCAGCAGCTTATGGCTTAAGTAAGGGGTCACGGACATTCAGCAGCAAGGGAAGCAGGGGTGGCAACTGAAGTATGATGGGGTCCAAGAATTGTTGAAGTAGGGGAGTGATTTTGTATTGCCAGAGTGCACCCAACTGTTTGGGAAATGCTACATCAGGGTATGGCAATTCAGGAACAAACAAGAGTTTCTAGCAGTTAGGAAGAGCTGTTGGTTTCTGATCTGACTGAGTGCGGAGTCATGATTTTTGTGCCTGGGAGATTTTCCAAGGCAGTAGTATGCTTTCCCTGGGTGGGTCCTGGAGTAAAAGAGAAGGAAATAATCAGGAGTAAAAAGAAAAGGAAAATTTCTGAGGAGTATAAAACTAGAGGAATATGTAAACACGAAACTGATCACAGACCAGTAGAGATGGTTTCTTTGTACTTGTGCCTATACCATATTTTTATTAATTTTGACCATCCCATTTTTGTCCACACCCCCTTTTTCATGGACTTGTACACCCCAAGGAATTTTTCAGCATGAATTTTCCATTTCAAAATCAGCCTTGGCATAACATGCCAGGACAGTGTTGCAGTATGTCTTTTCATGATGATTTTTCACTGTAACTGTTTCCTTCCCACTTCACATTTGCGGTCTTATTGGATGCAAATCAAAGTACAGAGGAGCCTCATCTGTATTTCAGATATAACTAATTTCTAGTGTACTTATCCTCCTCCTTGCATTTAGGATGAATATATAAAATTCCACAACTTTGTGCTCTCATTTTTCTGGCAGCCTTCATACAGTTGTCCTTGCAAACAGTTGCAGTCCATGGTGTCTTATGAATCTGTGACACCATCTTAAACATCTGCTGAAATCTAATGCATTTCTTTTGTGAGTTTCCATACCTGCATCATAATCCACTTGATGAAAATGGCAGTTCCATTCTGTTTATGATTTGCTACCCAATGCAATATTTTATCTAGCTCAGGCCACTTAGCTGACTTCCTGTGTGTAGCAGGCTTCCCTTTCTCTTGATGTTTTTACGAGCATTTTTTTTCTGTAGGTGGAAGTCAAAATATCTTTCTGCAGCTTTCCCCCCATTTTCTCCTGAATATTTTACACCTCTGTTTGGAAGCCACTATATAAGATTTATTTATTGCTGATACATAGGTATAGTATAGGAGGCTGACAACACGTGCTAATCATAGAGCTGCCAATGTACTAAAGGCAATCCCATGTGTAGAACAGAAATCTTTTGTGTGTAGAATGTCTCAACAATAACAACCAAATACTTCCATAGAGTATACTAGAATTTGCAGTAATGCATTTTCAAGCAAACTGCTTTCTAGATTTACCTTCCACAAAATCATGGCATCTTAAACTCCAGTTCATGGCAGGGGCCAAACAAAAACTATGGCAGGAACTTCAGATAATTTGATCTCAGTTATTTTTTCATTGTAGAGCTTTGGTATAGAAGATGTACCTTAATTTTAGACCTCTTTCAGGCAGAAAGCCCCCCCCCCCCCCATGTCTTACACCCCAGAAAGCATGGTTAAATTGTCGGTTAGTCAATGTGCACTGCATTTGCAACTCGATATGATCTGAAAGTGACACAAATGGCCACATTCCTTTCCTTGCTAAAAGAATGTAGGAGTGCCACCTTCCAGCAGAGCTTCAGGAATGCACCAGTGCTACTTGAATTGCCTTTGATTTTATACCACTTAAAAAATCTTCCTCTTTCTTTTACTCTGGTGCTGCAGGGACCCTCAACCAGTGCTACTAATCTGGCAAACCTCCGAGATGTGGAGACCAGACTTAGTGGCAAAGATAGTGTGTGACATAAGCATATTAAGCAGAAGTCCTTTTTTGCGACATGTCTGGCCAAATAGGCTTTTCATATATTTTGGGGGTAGCAAGACTGGGCAATCATTCCATCTTGTGTATTAGAGATTAAATAACAGGAATTGTGCTTTTGGAAAATGAAAGTGGCCTCCATACATTTCAAAACATGTACGTGAAGAATTTTGTCTCTGAGTTGGAAGTTATTGGATTGTGGTAATACATTGTTTCTTATGGCTTTTTGCTGATGGTCTGTGCACAGGATTTAAGCTTTCTGATATTTCTTTGGCATTGATTTTTTTTTTAATTATGTTTGAGCTCCATCTGAGAGAGGAAATCCAATTTATTGGCTGAAATTAAAAAGTGCAGAAAAACTATATTCCTTTAACAAATAAGGGGTCATTTACTGCTGTATAGGACAGTGGAGACTAATTCCTATCCCAACACGATAATCACTCTTGCTGGATACCCTTCAATTAATTATTGATCAGTCCAGCACTTCTCATCAGATTGTCCTGGCCTTGCTACATAAAATGTCTTATTTTTTTCCAGTGTTTTTTCAAGATGTCTACAGTCCATGAAATTCTAACCAAGCTCAGCCTTGAAGGAGATGTAAGTATTACTATTAGAAACTAGAAATAATTTGAGGGTTTTCTCTCTTTAAATGTCTATTCTATCTAGTTTCCTTTCCAATGTGACTTTTTTTAAGGGTGCTCTTGAGGTGCAGTGATTAGAAGGCAACATGACAACTTCTTGAAATAGAGTCATAGATGCTAGGGTCAGAAGGGACCTCAACAGATCATCGAGTCTGACCCCCATGCCTAGGCAGGAAGGAGTGCTGGGGTCAGATGACCCTGGACAGATGCCTATCCAGACTTTTCTTAAAGAACCCCACAGTAAGGGAGAGCACCACCTCCTTTGAAAGGCCATTCCCAATTTTGGCCGCCATTACCGTGAAGAAGTTTTCCCTGATGTCTAGCCTAAATCCTTTCTCTGTCAGTTTGTGACCATTGTTCCTTGTTACCCCAGGAGGCGCCCTGGTGAACAGAGCATCTCCGATCCCTTGCTGCGCCCGCTAATGAATTTTTAGGCAGCCACAAGATCACCTCGCAGCCTTATCTTGCAGAGGCTGAAGAGATCAGGGTCCCTCAGTCTCTCCTCATAGGGCTTGGCCTGTAAGCCCCTAACCATATGAATCTCTGGACCCTCCCAAGGTTATCCACATCCTTGTTAAAGTATGGCACCCAAAACTGGATGCAGTACTCCAACTGCAGTCTGATCAATGCCACATAGAGGGGAAGCATCACCTCCTTGGATCTATTTGTCATGCATCTGCTGATGCATGATAAAGTGTGGTTAGCTTTGCTGATGATTTTGTCACACTGATGACTCACGTTCATCTTGGAGTCCACTATGACTCCAAGATCCCTCTCTGCTTCTGTGGTGCTGAGAGGGTTATTCCTCAGCCAGTAAGTGTGCTGGATATTTTTATGCCCTAGGTGCAGCACTCTGCATTTCACTAAAATGCCTAAAAGCTAGACAAGTGATACTGTAACCTTTGCTCTAGAGCAGGGGTGGGCAAAATACGGTCCGCGGGCCGGATTCGGCCCGCTAGGCCATTCTGTCCAGCCCGCAGGGCCCCTAAAAATATTTAGAAAATTAATATTTATCTGTCCTTGGTTTCTGTCAGAGATGACAGGAGCCAGGAGCAGTAGGACTCAGGGGAAGTCCCGGTGGGCTCCTGCAACATCAGGGCCCACCTGGCCCCGCCCCCCCAGCCATGGGGGATGGATATAGGTGTGTAGGGTGGGGGTGTGCATGCGAGTGTAGGTTTGTGGGGGCTGTGGGTGTGTGGGTATGTGGGGTGAGGGAGCATGTGGGGGTGTGTGTGTGTGGATACGTGGGGTGTGGGTGGGTATGGGGTTTGTGGGGGGCTGTGTGTGGGTGGAGGGTAGCTGGGGTGGATGAGGGGGTTTAGAGGTGGGGGTCTGCGTGTATGGCAGTGCGAGGGGGGTGTGGGTACATATGTGTGGGGGGGTGGGACTCGCCCTATGAACACACACACACACACACACACACACACACACACACACACACACACACACACACACACACACACACACCCCTCCTGGCCCTGGCGTACCGGTGCAGCCCTGTGCTCCCGCTGTCTGGCAATGCAGCCCAGGGCCATGTGGTGCTGGAGCAGGCATGCAGAGATGCAGTGACAGCTGGGGCAGGCAGAGGGTTCTGGTCGGGGGGGCGGAGCTGAGTTCTGCTGGTTTCCCCTGGGTCCTACTTTCCCTGGCTCCTGTCATCTTTGAAAGGCAGCCAGTTGCAGATAAATATTAAATTTTCTAAACTTTTTAGGTGCCCCATGGGCTGGACAGAATGGTCTAGCAGGCTGGATTTGGCCTGCAGGCTGTATTTTGCCTGTCCCTGTACTACAGGGTTAGAGGCGGGAAAAGAGGGGATGCATCTCACTGTCTGGTTAGTCTCTGCAACAGAAAAGGGGTGTAGAGGAAGATTAAAAAACAAAAAATAAATGGAAGGCAAGGCAGACCCCCAGCCTTGGTTTTTATTAGATGTGAATTAAAATTTATCAGGTCTTTGGTAAATCAAAAAAAAAAAAATTGGCAAAAAATGGAAATGTTTTTATTTGTTAACCTAATTTTTTTCAGGTATGAATTCTATTTGAGATGGAAAGATTTTTATATGTTGACTGCTGAGCATTCAATATTTCTGAGGTTTTGATTGCCAAAAGCTGGAGAAAAAAGCTTTTGTATGTTTCTCTTTAAAGTAAAAAATAAAAAGAAGGTATTTTTCAGGGAAAATTCCTTTTTCTTAAAGGCGTTTTCTGTTTTAAAAGCCAAAGCCTGTTTGGACAATTCCACCAAGTTGTGTGTGATTCTGCCAATGGCAGTAGAGTTGCATCTGTCTGCATTTGTTCCATCATTGTTGACAAAATACCACAAAGCCACAATGTAACTATAGTGCTACTTTTGAACTATGGTGTTGAAAGAGTACACAAGGATGATACCCCATTGCAGCGTCAGGATATTATGCCATAAAGTTGTGGCTTTCTCTGATTGTAATTAATGAGGAAGTGAATCTCAGCGGCATGGGTCAGTGCCAGTGAACTTAGGCCTAAGGTGACCGTAGATCCTGGTTTGGCTGAAATAGTCCTGGATTCTGTAGGCTGGTCCTGGCCAGTTGATGAAAAGTCCTGGGCTGGAGTCCAGCAGAGATGGGGAGCAGCACGGTGCACCAGGCAGGCAGGCGCTGCTGCTGCGTGGGAGCAAGGTGGGTGGACATATGGTCACCCTATCTAAGATGCCATATCTGAGGTCCCAACATTCCTTGCTCCTGCACAGTGGCAGTGGTGCCCGCATGCCTGGCTCCATTGTTTGATCACCCCACAGCCAAAAAATCATCAAATAATTTAAGCTAGCAAATATATTTGAGGAATCTTTTTCTACGTGTAGGTAACTGTGAGCTCTAAAAGAAGCTAGAATTGTTGAATAAGGACTTTATGAATTGGTTGTCTGCTTCCCCAAGCAGAGTGTTTTCAGCAAGGTAACCAGTGCAAGAAAGTAAAACAGCTGTTCAGGCACCTTTTTTACCCATTGGATTTTGTACACTTTGTGTGTGATGGCTGCTATTTATATCTAAAGGAACCAAGCATCTTGGTCGTGTATAGTTCAGGGTGTGGTATTTGTGCTTAATGCCTCCACCCTGTAGTGAGGAAGTAGCTTCAAGCATAAGAAACTGCACTGATGGACTGTCTTGGCTTCTCTTGTGAAACCTGACTTGGCCTGTTTCTCCAGCCGTACAGTACCCTGTTCCTCCTCTGAGTACCCTGGAAAAGGAGGCAGCTGAGCTGACGTTAACTATGTGCCTGTGGTAGAGTCCCTGTGGGGAGAAGGTTAACGCCAACTCAGCTTCCTCCTTCTCCAGGGTGTTATGGGTAGGAAGAGAAGCCATGACAGTCCATCAGGACATTCTCTTATGCTTGGAGAAGTGACTTGTGGTTTTGGATGTTATATAGGCACCACAGTACACCAGCCACATGCTGAGTAGGGCTGTGCGAGGCTTCAGACCATGCTTTGGATCCGGAGAAGCTTCGGACACTTCAGCGTCTGAAGCAGCATGTCCAGATCAAAGTGCTGGCTTCATTAGGCTTTCCGAAGTGGTTCGGAGCTTCCGAACCGTTTCGGAAAAGCTTCGGAGCCGCCTCAGAGATCCAGCCATAGGGTATAACGGGGAATCAATTAAATATCTATAACTTTGTTGTTTTTTGTCTGATTTGGATGAAACTTGAAGAGGTGGTAGCCTCTTCTGAGAGCACAAAGTCTGCTAAGTTTCAAGAAGATTGGTGCATGGGTTCAGGGGGAACCGCACCTCAAGCTGTGGACAAGCAAAACTCGTGACATGGGTGACACTGTGTGTTAAGGTGCAGCAGGGTGAAAGCTGCAGGGATGGTAGCCCCTGCTGCAGCCACGAAGCCTGCCAGCTGTCGAGGAGATCAGTGCAGGGGGGTTCTGGGGCCCTGCACTCCTAGCTGCTGACAGGCAAAACTTGTGCAACTGTGTCTGTCTTGGGGTGGGGGGAGGGCAGGTAGACACTAATGCAGGTCGGGCTGCTAAGCTACTGTGTTACCAGTTACCAATCAGTCATGATTCACTCAGGGACCAGCTCAATACACAATACTTAGCTAACGTAGGATCAGTGCAGGGGGGTTCTGGGGCCCTGCACTCCTAGCTGCTGACAGGCAAAACTTGTGCAACTGTGTCTGTCTTGGGGTGGGGGGAGGGCAGGTAGACACTAATGCAGGTCGGGCTGCTAAGCTACTGTGTTACCAGTTACCAATCAGTCATGATTCACTCAGGGACCAGCTCAATACACAATACTTAGCTAACGTAGCCAGTTAATTAGCAGCAATTAACACCTACAAAACCACAAACTAAAGAGAGGAAATAATCAATATAGACAATCAACTGCCCCAAGACCGAGACAGTCAGTTGCACAAGCACCCATGTCATGAGTTTTGTCTGTCAGCAGCTATGGGTGCAGGGCCCCAGAACCCCCCTGCACTGATCTCCTCGACAGCTGGCAGGCTTTGTGGCCTCAGCAGGGGCTAGCAGGCCTGTAGCTTTCACCCTGCTGTGCGCCTTAACACATGCAGTGTCACCCATGTCATGAGTTTTGCTTGTCCGCAGCTTGAGGTGCAGTTCCCCCCAAACCCTTGTACCTATCTCCTTGAAACTTGGCAGGCTTTGTGGCCTCACCAGGGGCCACCACCCCTGCAGTTTTCACCCCCCTGTTATGTATCACATACATGTGACATGAGTTTTGCTTTCAAGAATTTGGGGTGCAGTTCCCCCAAATTTTGTTATCCAAATCAGACAAAAAACAACAAAGTTACAGATATTTAATTGATTCCCCATTATACCCTATGGCCAGATCTCAGAGGCAGCGCCAAAGCTTTGGACCCGCTTCGGCTGGATCAAAGCGGGAACCCAGTCCGGAGCTCCAGATCGGATTGCTGGCATCCGAAGTGGCCGGATCAAATAACTGCCTACTTACACAGGCCTAATGCTGAGTTGCATGGCACCACCTCCACACATTAGCTGCTGAAACAGTAGTAATGTAGCTGCTGAGAGATGCAGATTGTCTTATGGTTAGAATAGAGGCCTGGGTAGTCAGGAGACCTGGATTGTAGTCCACATCTGTCACTGACTTGCAGTGACCTCAGGCAAGTTCAATAGGCCTGTGTTTTCAGAAGTGACTAGTGATTTTGGATGTCCTGCTTCAGAGATCTTAAAAGGGCCCTCATTTCTGGAGGTATTGAGCACTCTTAACTCAGAGATTTAGGTGCCTTCAAGTTGAGCTCCTCACAATTGGATAATCACTTTTATCACTTCAGAAATTTAGAACTATCTGCATGTAAGATAAAGGGGAAGGGTGAAGGGAACACAGGCAGTCTTTGTAAACTATTTGGAAGTCCCCACCTAGTATGGAAGAACATTAGATTCTCATTTGGTTTTGCTTAACCTGCCCATGTGCTTATATTTTAGCACTGACTGATGTCTTACTATTTGAGCAAGAGTCTCACTGAACTTAGTAGAAAGGTCAAAAGGAACTTGCATCTCTGATGACAGGGGTCTGCCTCCTAGTGTACCAAAACCAATATGAAACAAGCAGGGCCCATTCAAGAGCATAAGGAGACATTTGCTCCAATCATGCCAATGCTTTTTCTAAAGTAATAAACTGCTTTTCATATGAAAAGAGTGTAATTATTACATCTGGAATTTACAATATCCAAGGTTTTAGTTTCCCTTTCCTGAGAGCACGACAGCACTTGGCCCTTTTCCTGAGATCAAGGGGGCTGCATTCAACCTTCTTACTTACGTGTACATGAGGAAGAAGCTATTTCCAAACTGCACATTTACTATGTGTTAATTTTTCTTATATCTCATGATGTTTTCTAGCACAGCATGCTATCTCAGTGTCTGTATAATGCATGGAGAGAGCAGAAGGAGCAAGAGACTAGATAAGATGTCATCTCTGACCTTGTTTTTTCAAATCCAACTCAGTTTGGCTAACCAGGTTAGCTATTCCAGAATGTCCAGCAGTGCCCAATTTAATCAAATAGAGTGTCCAAATTGTGCTCTATGATACAAAGACTTTGTGTTTCTGTAAGATTCCTAAAACACATTTATCCAAGACTGCATTAGACCTTTCAATTTACTATTATTGTTGGCAGTTAAATCTGTAGATACTGGGAAATGATGTCTCATGTGGTGTGGCAGTAGGCCAGACTCTGCCTGCTTGGACTGATAGGGCAGGTCCTTGCAGGGATAAAAGAGGATGATTATTTTTCTTGATGTTTGTGCCTCTCCATCCCTGTAGCATGTCTCAGATTTTCAGTGGAGGGCACAACTGGTCCAGCTGGAAGAAACTGTGTATGTCACTGTGATCTAAGTAGGAAGATGTACAGATAACAAATCTGTGTGGTCAAATTCACACAGGTTCCTTATTCACAGACTGTCCTTTGCTTTGGCCATTAAGGGTTAAAAGAAAAAATGCAGGAAGAGCTAGTTCTTGAGAAGTCCTGTTTAGGCATCTACCATTTCAGTTGGTGTTAGGTACCAAGAAATGTTGAGGGTGGGACCTGATATGTCTTCCAACAGAATAGTCCTGAAATGCTTTTTCTATTGAGAGACTCCTGCTGAAATAAAGTAAGTGCTTATGCAGCATTTTAAAAAGAAAAGATAGGTTACTGAAAACTGCTGAAAATAAGTTAAAACTGTGTTAATTCACTAGGTGCACAAAGCACAGAATTTGTCCTATGGTGGGTAACATATTCATTGTGGATTTCTAATTATCTTTTACAACTGACATGTATCCAATATAAGCAATTGGCTTGGATTTTTTATAACTTGAAATAATATTTTCATATTGACATTTTGAAACAAGTTTCTGTCAGGTCCAGCCAGTTTTTGTACAGCTTTCTGTAATGATAAACACCCTGCTGTGGGTAGATTCTGGGGAAAGTAATACATTCAGAGAGCCAAGGTGCAGTGCCTCTTAGGTGAATTTTTATTATATTAATAGTTTGTCCTGTCCTGCAGTTTGTATGTTTTGCATATACAGCAATGTATCAGCTTCAGAAAGGTACAAGAATCATATTGATCATAGGCAAAGTGTAAACTTCCTTTTTTTTTTTTTTTTTTTCCTAGCATTCTATCCCTCCAAGTGCCTATGCCACAGTTAAGGCATACTCAAACTTTGATGCTGACAGGGATGCTGCTGCCCTTGAAACTGCCATCAAGACCAAAGGTAGGGGGAACCAGCACACTGTCTGCTGTACTTGCAGATGATAGACCTGATGTATAAACAGACACCTACCACCTAATCCTGGGCATTTTCTTTAGTGATTAGCGTCAGAAAATTGGCAATATTTTGTAGCATGATGTGAAACTTTTGAGCTTGTGCGTCAGTCACTCAAGAACTGCAGTTCATTCTTTTTGGGCAAAGTTATGTGTCAGCATGATGTGAAGTGCAGTCTCGGGGCCTTGGCTAGTAACTTCAGTGGTATCTATACTGTTTATTAATAGGGCTTGTCTAAATGACACAGGCCGCATCTACACAAGACACTGACTATGCAGCCATTTAATATTTGTATAAAGAAGTACTAAATGACTGTGCGGTAACTGGAGTTACTGCGCAGTAGCACCACTAAATGGCTTTTTGGTGATGCTGACTGCATAGTAGCCTGTGACTACTGTGCAGTAGCATTGTGTCATACTTTTTGCCATGCAATGCTACTGCACGGTAGTTGCAGGCTACTGCGCAATCAGCTTGTGTAGATGCACATGGCCACAGTGCAGTGCAGTGCAGAGACACCTGAGTTAACTCAGGTCCTGGAAGAAGTATGTCATGTTAACACAGTATTCTTCTGATTGTCTTGGGTATTTCTGCAGAGCACTGCATTGTGTTGTGTAGATGTATCTCTAGAGACCCCACTGCCAACTGATTGCCTTTTACTGTGATTTTGCTGTGTGGATCAGATCCTCTACCCTGGTCAGTACTCCTTTCTTCCAACTTCTGCTGCCGTGCATTGTTCTCAGACTTCTACTAAGGGCTAGCCAAAAGATTTTCATCACGGTGGCTTTTCACTGAAAATCTAGCTTTTCAATCTAGTGAATTTTTTGCAAAGTGTCTGTGTTCTGTCAAAATGGGGGGGGAGGGTTAGGGGAGAGGGGAAATAGGAAATTGGAGCTCTGGAATGGATACATTTTGAGTATGAAATGATGCTATATTACCTCATGAATTGGGAATTTCATGTTTCTAATTCTCCTGTATTCGCCACAGTCACCAGCTAGACTTTGTTTCCCACAATGCATGTAGTTCAGGTTGCACTATGACACCTCTTTGACCAGGGGACTGTAAACAAACATCTCATTCGGGGCAGTCCTAATTGTCTCAGGTTCTAACCCAGATCAAAACACGAGGAATGTGGTCATTTTACATATGTGACCCTTCCAAGATGCATTGCTGACCCTCTGCCAGTAGGTGGCCAGGGAGAGCACCCTGCCTGCCAGGCTTGCCCTGGAATAATTCACCATTCGCTTACAGACCTACACAGGGGGGAAAGAAGTATTTGTTCATTTTCTCTCTTGTACGTCACAGGTCCTTAACGCAGGACAATGGACTTGCTCACAGGAGAAATAGTGTCTGTTTACGAGACTGGCATTCCACTGCAGAGAATAGCTTTGTAGACATGCACATATTTGGAGTCCTTTCAGAAGGGGAGGTTTCCAAAAGGCAGATGTGTTTGAACTGTTATATGTGAATGAGCTGAGAACAGTTCGAATGTAGCAAAACCACTCCAACTTTAACCCTGGATGAAGCAGTGGTGCTCTCTTGAAACTTCCCCTTTTGAAAGGTCTCCAAACATACCTGTGTTCAAATCTGAACCACAGCTCTTATTAGTAGGGATCTACTTAAATCACTGTTTTGTGAAAAATGGAATCGACCACAGTATCCCAGGAAATCAACCAAAAAAGAAAAATGTGATAAAAATAAAATGCTGGCTCCCCAGTGGGAGTCAGCAGCCCTTGCTACAGTTGCAGTCCAGTCTTGCAGCCTGCCTAAGTGAGGAAGACGCCAGCTGGTGGGGCAGCATGAAGGGCAGCCAACAGCCAAGATTATAGCCACCCCCTTGTCCTGCCTTCCTTGGGGCCTCCCTGTCAATCAGAATCAAGGGATGGGGCCACTGCAAAATTACCATGAAATTGGCTGTCTTGGCCACGACTAAGCCATAATACTTGACTTCTGTCACCACAAGTTGGGATAGGTCCCTACTCATAAGGCACTGCAGTAACAGTTCAGCTTTGTAGCAAAATAATTATTTTTATTTTTAATTTAGAAGCTCAGTGTTTTGCTCAGGAGGGAGAAACCTTTCCCAAATATTCCTATTACTGCTCGTGTCTGTCTATATGTGGTTCCT